AACGAAGACATGCTGGGATTGGGAGATGGGGGGTTAAGGAGGTGACACAACCAAAAAAAAGAGGCAACAAACAGGTGAGAAGGGGAGATGAGAGAAGAGGAGCGTAAAGAGAAAAAGGGGAATGGGAAAAACGAATGGAGAGAAGAGGAGAGGAGTCGAAAAACGAAAATGAGAGAAAGAGAGAGACAAAGAGAGAGAGAGAGAGAGAGTGAAAGATGGGGTGAGAGAGAGAGGGAGTAGGGGCGAGAGATAGCAGCATTAATTGCCGGGCCCAGTGTTAATGCTGGCTTGACAGTTTCTTTCGGTGAGTAGAAAGCTGATTGGACGATAATGATGCTGACTACTAAAACACTGCACTGCTGACCCAATGTAATTATGGGGGGTTTGTGTGTGTGTGTGTGTGTGTGTATGTGTGTGTGTGTGTGAGTGTGTGTGTGTGTGTGTGTGTTGGATAGACAGCAGGAAAGAGAAATGGTAGAGAATCATAAAACAGAAAAGTAATACAACATATAAACAAATACACACACAGGCACGCATGTTCACTACACATACAATAACACAGACATAATAACACAGACAGCACACACAATAACGAAGCTACTTTGTTGATCTTATAATGTTGTAACACTACTGATTTGGCAATATTTGTTCATGAACAGTCATGCCAATAAAGCCTGTTAAATTACACTAAGGAACAGATGAAATATGTGTACGTGTGTGTGTGTGTGTGTGTGTGTGTGTGCACGCCAGGTTACCCGATCTAACACACATAAAAGTTCTTTAATTAGCTTCCTGCGTACGTCTTACCAAACAAGCTTCTGCATGTTTAGCTGTGTTTTTTTTTTCTCAAGGCACACCTATGCGCACACTAGAAAATAAATTAAAAAATCCATAGCTCACAAATGTCTCTTTTAATGTTTCCTTTGCTCCCTCATGCGGCATCTTTTTCTTTTCTTTTTTTTTGCGTGCCATCTCTGCGGCATTGCAGCGGAAATGAAAACACTTAACTTCCCTTCCTCCAGTACATTTTCAAGGGGTTTAATTGCTGAGCTCCCAACAGCTATAAAACTTAACTCATTTAGCCATTTTATATAATTTATTATAATATGTATTATAATATAATATCATTATATAATATTATTATTATAAAAATACTACTACTACTACTACTAATACACTTTATTTCATGCAGCCCTTTTCAAGCACACGCACAAAGTGCTTTAAATGTAGACCAATACAAAATACATTGCATTACATTCAAAATACCTTGCAGTAGAACAGAGGCAGAGCCAGACAATAGAGACATGCGGTTAGTGGAGGATTCTGGGGGGGTACCTTGGTGGTAGAGGGGCTTCAGGTCTTGCTCCGGACTCCCGCTACTACTGAGGTTACACAGCAGGGCCACTCCAGTCTGGACCAACACACCGGTAACATTACCACTGTTCACCTAGAGAGAGAGATAGGGAGGGAGGGAGAGTGAGTGAGTGAGTGAGTGAGTGAGTGAGTGAGTGAGTGAGTGAGTGAGTGAGTGAGTGAGTGAGTGAGTGAGTGAGTGAGTGAGTGAGTGAGTGAGTGAGTGAGTGAGTGAGTGAGTGAGTGAGTGAGTGAGTGAGTGAGAGAGAGAGAGAGAGAGAGAGAGAGAGAGAGAGAGAGAGAGAGAGAGAGAGAGACATATATGGGTAGATAGATAATGACAGAGAGAAACAGAAAGATATAGAGTGAGAGAGGGAGATAGAGAGGCTATTCAGGGATATTACACTAGAAATTAAGATGAATTCAGATGTGTGTGTGCAGGGGGTGTGAATGATGACTCATTACACACGAGAACAGCATCATTTCAACAATGTTTTCAAAGATGTGTTTCCTAACAAAATGGACACAAAAATGTATATGATACATAATTTATCATAATAAAACCAAATTTTTTTTTTCCAAAGAATTTCCAAGCAGGGTCTATTGTGAAGCTGATCGGGCTTGCGTTGCCTGTAGCCAGCAGCTGTGCTAAACTCCTTCTGACCGCTCAGGTTGGAGTAATAGAACAAGACTTCAAGGCCGCTGCGTTTCAAGTCTTCAACAGGAGCACTTTATCATCCCCAGCCAATAGAGTTAAGCAGCGTTTCCCCCGTGACAACTCTGATCAGGGCTGATCAAAACACGGCACGGGGGTAGACAGGAGTTATCGGTCAGCGCCCTGTGAGCGGTCGCAGGCAGCGCTGAGCAATTTGCGGCTTGCATACACTAATGGGACGTATGGACATGACGGCCGCAGACAGGAGTAAACAATCAGGAGTGGCTGGGAGTTAATCAGCGTGTTTAACATTCTGCAATCAGCTCGTCTGGGCTGGACAAGGCATCCGTGCAGAACAGTGATTACAGAACAGCGGGAGTGTGTGTGTGTGTGTGTGTGTGTTTGTGTGCATTTCATGCATGTCAGTGTGTGTGTGTGTGTGTGTTTGTGTGCACATAGATGTGTGTGTGTGTGTTTGTGTCTGTTTTTATCAAATACATTTCCACACTTTCCTGATAACAAACTACTCTGCATGTGTGTGTGTGTGTGTGTGTGTGTGCGTGTGTGCGATAGAGTCCATAGTTCCACTCCATTAATCCCTCCCACTCTCCGCAGATGACCTGTCAGTCAATTACATGGGCCCCTCTAATAGGTCAATGTCGCCCGCGTGCATTTGCATAGCACATCAATAAACTAACGTGACAGGCAGACGTGAGAAGCAGCGGGAGTGACACGAGAGAGAGAGACAGGGAAAAAGATGCAAGGACAGTAACTGAGAGAGATACATACAGTGCGGCGAGCGAGAACGAGATATCTCGATATTCAAAACTAAATGTGACGTTCGTAAGTATGTGAATCACATTTCATGAGCCACATTGACCAATAATGGCTTTTAAAACATATCAACAAATGTATCGATACAAATACATGCACACGTAACCATCGCAGCGTTATCTGTGACCACCTCAGGTGGAAAAACGTAACATAACACGCAAACATCAATGTAAATCCAACCCCTATAGCATTCGCAGAACAAGTGGTGTTTGAATGTAGTGATTTAGTCCCTTTTGTTCACAAATTCAGCCCCATTCCAACACGATTTTGGCGTCGCAGACAATCTTTCAGCGCCGCGGGCCGATTATGAACATCGGCTTGCAATGTAGCATCTGGGACGCGCTGCGACACACACCCCGACGTAAAGTCTAGCGTGTTTGAATATTTTCGCCGTCACATTGTCCGACAACTCCTACGTCACGTCACGTCACGTCAACGTCAACGTACACGGACGTTGACGTGTTAAATATCGACCCCTCTTTCCTGATCCCAGGTGAACTTGATGCCCGGTCGTGAAGACTGAATACGTGGCGGTTAAACTTGTCATGTGCCCCGAGGATTTTATCGCCATAATTGGACATGGTGACCATCGTGAAAGACAGAAGAAAATATCGAGCGGTCTGATCCCGGCATCAGAGTTGTCCAAACGAGACTGTTGTCCAGTCTCGTTTGACTGTGGAGCTGGGACCGTGGAGAGTTGTTACGATGTCAAGACATCACATGACAGACCGGAGTGGACTAACGGCGGAGTGGCGGCCTGGCTGATGGTGGAGACGGCTTACCGTAATAAGCTGCAACACAGACGGGACAATCTCACTCTGTTTGATTAACCTGGGAGAGAGAGGCAGAGAGAGAGAGAGAGAATGAGGGGAGAAGTTGATAAATTACCTTAGTTTGAGGAGAAATACATATGTTACTGTTGGACACCAAGACAGACAGGCAAGCAGTCACGCACGCGCACGCACGTTCACACACACACACACACACACACACACACACGCACACACACACGCACACACACACACACACACAAACACTTCATCCATCACATCCATAAAGGCAGAACCAGAAAAGCGAGAGGGATGTGTGTGAGTATTAGACATGGCATCCTGTCACCTTAAACTAAAGACTCGCTGGTTCACAGCTAATTGCTGCAGAATACGTGTGTGTGTATGTGTGTGTGTGTGTGAGTGAGAGCTTCTACTTTAGTATTTTAGTGTGTGCACTGTGCTAGCGTTCACACTTAACTTTTGAATTTGTGATTGTTTTATGTATGTGGTGTGGATACGTGTGTGTATGTGTGTGTTTGTGTGTGTGTGTTAGTTTTTTTGATTGTGTGTATGTGTGTGTGTCCATGTGTGTGTGTGTGTGTGTGTGTGTGTCCATGTGTGTGTGTGTGTGTGTGTCTGATATGTGTGTGTGTGTGTGTCCATGTGTGTGCATGTGTGTGTGTGTGTGTGTGTACGTGTGCGTGTGTTTTTGGACGTGTGTTTTTGAGTGTGCTTGTGTGAGTGTTTTTGAGTGTGTTTATGTGTGTGTGTGTGTGTGTGTGTGTGTGTGTGTGTGTGTGTGTGTCCGCGTGTGTGTTTTGGAGTGTGAGTGATGGATGGTCTCGGGTGCAGGAAGTGACATCGTGAGTGAGAGGAAGGGGCCTGCCAGGCCGACAGTGCGTGATAAAGCAGGCCACCTCCAAGACACACAGCCATACATCAACGCATCGCTGATCCACCAGACCCAGCCAGCACCATCTGCGCATACACACACGCACGCACACACGCTCACACACGCGCACTCACACACACACACACACAAACTGACAGCAGCTTAGAGTGAAATATGAGTCCCTGCTGCTGTGAGCCATTCATCATCAGTGTTCTGAAGAGGCCGGGCCCAAAGCAGCACTGGGAAATCAAACTGTGGCTTTATAACCTATATCATAAACGGGAACATTCTTGACACGCGTTGAAATTAACCTCTTTACCGCTGGTCATTTGTCACATGGCTATAAGGGAAACCTGAAACTCTGAGACTTGATCACTTTTTCGGTGTCGCAGTAGAAATATGTCCCGTGGACAATGTGAAAATGTGAGGAAGCGAAACAGCGTGAAACCAGCTTCTTGTTTAAAAACCCTTAGTACTGATCTGATCTTGTGAACCTGGTCCTGACTAGCTGAACTGGAAGAGCATGGCATTAACATTGCCAGGGTTAGAGGTTTGTTCCCACTGGGACCACCCATGCTAATGGTATTGTCTGCGCTCACAGTATTGTAACACGCTTTGGATAAAAGTGTCCACAAAATGGCATAAATTATTATATATATGTTAACTTGGTTTTGTACAATGGTGTGTGGGTGTGTGTTGAGTGAATTAATATATGATATCACACGAAAACATGTGCATATGGCTGTGGTAAACGCTTTTTCATCTGTAGCTAGCCTGTGTGGGTTAGCTAGTTAATCTATAGCCAATCTATGACACAGACTCCTCTATTCTTATGGTATATTGTAAACAGCAAAATACGATAATACACCACATATGCCTTTATGAGTTCTTTATGCATCATTTAGAACATGGGTTTAAAGGGGAACTGTCACGCTCTGCTCATTTTTCAAAAACATATGCGAAAATTGCCATTTTTACACAATACTTGAATGACGCTGTACCCTCTTCTATGAGCAAATAGCAGAGTGTGACAGTTCCCCTTTACGGTGATGGACAACAGCAATCCGTCATTTTCCTCGAATTATGTCAGTAAGGGTTATCAAGGTGCGCATTAAGCATCAGAAAATTCATTAACTTAAGTCAAAATGTACATGACAGTGCTGGAATAACACCCTTTCTAGTTCTGCACAGTGTTGCCAAAATGCATGTGAGGGTCCAGAGCAACACACCAAATTTGAAAAGGTGCAAGCAAGGTTTGGTACTTTAGTGGCAAGATTTACAATAGTGCTGTCCACACTTCAGATAACACAAAACTTTTTCCAATCACACAACCACACACACACAAACACACACCACAAAACACACCCTCTCTCTCTCTTGAGCACACATGCACATGTCGTACACACAGACACACACGCACACACACACACACAGACAGCTAAAGGTCATATTAAATACAGTTGTTTGAAGGTGGGTCGCGGCTGTGATAACAGCACAGAGAGATAGGCGCTCAGCACCCACCCCAACCTCTTCTCCCACCCTCCCCCAAACGTTAATGTCCCCAATTTACCATCTAATTACCGCCAGGCCCAGCTTCACAGCTGCACTTATCTGACTGGGGGACCCAGGCAATTTAATTTCTGATTGTACAACCCTGGCGTGAAAAACCAAGGGAAGTGGCAGAGAGAGAGACAGAGAGAGAGAGAGAGAGAGAGAGAGAGAGAGAGACAGAGAGACAGAGAGACAGAGAGACAGAGAGACAGAGAGAGAGAGAGGGATAAAGTAAGCGTGTGTGTGTGAAAGGGCGAGAAATACATAGATTAATAATAATGAATTAAAGAAAAGGCGTGTGCGAGAGAGAGCGAGAGTGAGAGCGAGAGCGAGAGTTAGAGAGAGAGAAAAAAAAGAGAAGAGTGAGGGGGAGAAAGAGAGAGAGACACATACACAGAGACAAAGAGAGAGAGGAATAAGACGAAAAATGTTGACTGCTGCTCTTAAGACTTGTCGGCGGAGAAGGAGGAGTGAGAGAGAGCGAGAGAGAGCGAGAGAGCGAGTGAGCGAGAGCTAATGCATAGAGAGGAGAGGAGAGTGGTGGTGACACCAATTTATTAAGTTCATGTCACTCTACCAGCGACGACGAGTGCGGAGGAGAGGGTGGGGGTAAAGTAATGGAGGTGGGGTTAATATTATTAGTGATAAAGAAATGGGGGAGTCTTCACCTACCAAATAAGTAGCTAGAGGTCATGGTGGTGGGGGGGGGTTCACGAGATTAGTGAGCACGGGAGTGGTAATGGACTTACACAGGTTAAGAAGGTGTGTGTGTGTGTATATGGCTATATGGCATATGTGTGTGTTTGTTATATTAACAATTTGTTATCAATTTGCTTGCAGCCCAGGCATCACAAGCGAATGCGTTAGGGGGCAAATGGCGCGGTAAATCTGCCGGTACTTTTTTCTGGGAGACCAATTTCACGTGGAGAATAATGAAGAGGATTCTGTGCCGCACATGAAAATGCAATTATCACGCTTAAAACAACGTGAAATGCAGAGCCCATGTGGCACAGTGCCAATTCTTTATTACAATTTATTTTGTTACTCACCTCTACACTGAAATGTGTAGATTTTCTTTTAGTATGACAATGAAGTCCTGTTAAAAACTGAAATGCAATCTAAAAAAATGGAAGGAGTCTCCGTATGCATGCATGTATGCATGCATGTACGCATGTATGCATGCATGTACGCATGTATGTATGCATGTATGTATGCATGTATGTATGTCCTTCGATTTTCTCGACAACCGTTCGTCTGATCGACTTCACACTTGGCGGGTGTATTGCTGAGGACCCAAGGAAGCACAGTGTCGAGTGTGAAGTTGTTTGGATGAGCATTTCTCAAAAAAGCTGCAAGCAGCGATACCGGAGGTCAAGCAATCAGCCCGTTCTGAACAGGCACGTTTTGTACGGGCACTAAGGCACTAAGGGCACTAGTCTAAAGCCAGAGCATTGACTGGTAAACAGAATCATCGCTTTGCATGACAAAGGAGTCAATGCACAAACCCGCCATTTTTAAATATCCCATCGACTGCGACTGCAACTATTATATATATTATTTGGGCAGTATTTCACCCTGCTGCCTACAGCCTTTCATTAAACAAAGCTCGTCTCCTGGTTGTAATAAACATCCACATCCCAAGGAGAAAGAACGTGAAACATTCGATGTCCTCCATTGCGTTGTTGTGTTCCTTTGTTTACTCTGTCGGGTCGAATATGACGTCACGATAGCGACGTGGCTATGAACCCCGCCTACATTTAAGGTAGCTGTTAGCGGTGGAAACGCAAAGCAGATCTAGGGTTAGGTACAGGTTGGCACAGGGTTAGGTAACGGTTTCAAAGATACTATACCGAAAGCTTTTGGTGGAAACGATCCATAATTAAAACAAAGCAGCAAGAGTGCCACACTACAATATGACACCACTCTCCACGACACTCATCTACCAAAGTGGGATAACATTCTCTGCACGCCACTATACAGAAAACGTACGTTTGTGCTGCACTGAACGTTGTTCCCACTGTGATAATTGCATTGTAAACCTGACACCAAGAACAAAAGGTGAACTGACTATTCATTGTGAGGCACTCTCTCATTCAAAACGCAAAGTGGCAGAGCATTTTCTAGAGCTCATGCTCCAGGTCTTGCTTCCGTGCGGCGGCGGCGGCGGCAGTCATCCTATCTATCAGTCATGTGTATATATCCACTACAGCTAGTGGTTGTAATAGGAGCCAGGATAACACGACACACACAACAACACTTATCACTGTCTTCTTCGCTAGTCTGTCTGGCCACTCGGCTGGGAGACGGATGACCGTGAAATGAGGCTCTACCGACAACTGCAGTCAGAAGACATCATCCATCATATTTTTTTTTTTTTACACATGCACATACACACACACACACACACACTCACACTTGCACGCACACACACACAACCACACACACACACACACACATGCAATAAACACACATTATCGAGCAAGCGTACATGCAGTAACATGCACCACATATAAAGCACGCACAGAGTAGCACGCACACACACACACACACACACACACACACGTCCACAAATATCTTTCTCTAACACTCACGTGCACACACACACACACACACACGCACACACACATACCCACACACACAGATAGGCACCCATGTGCATGTACGAGCAGCTCAGCATGTATTCTGCGCATGCACACACACACACACACACACACACACACACACACACACACACACACACACACACACACACACACACACACACACACACACACACACACACACACACAACCACACACACACACACACACACACATCCCCAGTGAATTGACCCTTAAAGAGAACCAAGACACTCAAATGAAACCTGAGGGACAGCAGCAGCAGCATCTCTGGTTAGCATGTCAGTGCTAATGGCATGTTCTGCTTGTCTGTCTGTCTGCAGCTGGTTGCCAGGTTACGTCATCCGACTCACATTGCTTTGTACGGCAACGGCACTTTTGTGTGACACGTTGATGTCTCTGAGATTTGAATTTAGTGCCTGGTTACACTTCAAGATTGATGGGCGCAGACATGCATGTGCACGCACACGCACACACACGCACACACACACACACACAGGCACAGGTACGTATGCACACAAGCACACACACATGCACACACCTGAAGGGTGAGTCATCGTCGGGGGGGTAAACCAAGGATCAGCAGATTTTGTGTTTGCGCATGGCATTATCAGTTTCAGCATGGCGTTATCAAAGTCACCTACATCTCTACTCTCTGTCTCACACAAGGCAGGTTCCCGCTCTTTAGCATACCCGTCGTGCTGTGTCAGATTAGGATCTCATTATTCTGCTCCGGTATTCTGCTCACACACTGTTTGAGGGCTGTTCGAATCCCTTGGTTCGTATAGGTGATGCAAGTCATTCCTGTGATTCAAGGTGCACCGTGAATGACCTCTACAATTGGTTTAACGCCAACTAATCCCCTTACTTATGCGACGGATTTTCAAGATAATGCATGCCTCCGTCCGTTCGAAAACATGTTCCACAATATCCTCATTGTTCTCATCTTTAGTGGGCTGATTATCGTTTGATGAATTAGCCCAGTTATGTTTTCTGAAAAGCACAATTATTGGGTTCTTGTGTACTACTACCTATAGCAGAATTGATTCCATTAGCAGAAGTTATTATTAGTACTTATTATTAGAGCTTATTATCTATCAGCAACCTTCCCTGTAAGGATACCTTCACCTATTTTCTCACCTATACAGTGCTCTGAGGTTGGGTGCCTTGACAGCGTTCTGGACACGACTTAAAGGACAATATCGGTCTGGCTGATGAAACCATCTTAACCATCTCTCCTGTCTTCATTAAAACATCTGTTACCGATATAATTTCACAAAATATCTTTATTGTGCCGATTCTGCCGAAGAGCATTTAGCGTGAGCACCTCGCCACAGACGTAACCAATAGCAGTAGCACTTTGGAAGCAGTAAAGGAAAGTGCCACTTCTGCCGTTTTGGT